CCATATAATAGGTAATGAATCAAAGAGAATTCATCATAGTCAAGTAGTTGCTGAAGAATACTTGAGAAGCTCATAGCTCTTTGATTTCTCGTGTGTTACAGTTGAGCACGACCTTATCTCTCATTATTAACACTACCGCCACATGGACTATTTATAAAGGTGTGTTTCAAAAGGAAGTATTTTATTTGATGCTAGGTATATTTTTAACATTAACTCTCAGTTAAAATAGACTTTCAGGAAAAATAATGAATGGTCTTATTCTTGATAAGAATACTCACTGAATAAAAAAGTTTTGCATTTTACCCAAAAACTTACTCTCCCAAGGCAAGCTTTCTAGTTCTAATATCTGAAGGATTTGAATTAACTAGCCTTATATGGGGCAGCAATTCCCTGTGGGGTCTATTGATTTTCTATTTTGTCTTTTTCTATTCTCCTTTAATTAAGTTTATTGTAACAAGCCCAGAAATATGGAAGTATTCACTTGCAGAGGAAATAGACTTCCCATCTCATTCCCATGAGAGATCACTGTCAAAAGCTGTGTTCTCCACATACTCTTTATAACAAGCTTCTGCTATAACAAGCTTCTTCTCTCTATAAACCTTTCTCCCTATAAACACACCAGTCCTGCCTATTAGGTTGAGCCACAAAAACCTGTCATTTTGATAAATCCCTACTCTTATGCCAGCCACAGGCAGCACCGTGTTTCCTGTTTCGTGCACCTGCCTCTTGCATCCTTTCTTGGGTGAGCTGCTGCTGCTTCCCTTTGATAGAGGGGAATGAAACTCCCAACCTAGAGTTCGTGTTCTCTAAAATTGAAGAATGAATTTTTGGAACAACAGAGGTTAAGAGCAGAATATATTTCTTGAGAGAAAGAAAGCTTCTGCCTGAAACAGAAACAGAAGGGTTCCTGAGTGGGTTGTCAAAGACTCTTATCTTTCCTAGGAACTTTTAAAGAGCAAAACCATGAGCTGAGATGGGTCCAAATTAGGGGAAAACCTGGGAACTCACAAGGTGGGCATAAGGTGGGACAGAACTATGGTTAACCAACAAGATTAATTGCGTGGGTTACATTGATTAAATCGGGGACAAATAGGGAAGTGATTCTTATGAGTAGTGGCATGCTTAAAGAGCAGTGACTCTCCCCTTAGGGTATTGGAATTGTGACTGCTGGTTTTCTCAGGGTGATAGAGACCTATTTAGAATATTAGTCCTTAGAATGTGTGTACATTTGTTTGATCTTTTGTTTGAGGCCTGGCCCACAGCAGGAGGCATCTGTCTACCCCATAGTTGCAAGGTATCTGGGCTTCTGCACTGGCTCTTCCAGTACCCGGTTCTGTCTCACTTTCTGTAATATTTCTGTATAACTCAGTTGCCTATAACAGTTGGCGGGACCCCACTCCTACCCCCATTCCAACTCTACTGTGTCTGAACATTATTTTTTATCTATACTGCAAAGATGCATGTATTTCCTCTTCTTAAACTATCTTTATATTCACTGTATAAATCACATTTGTGATTGCCTAATTCACACAATGTAGTAGTTCGCTATTTATGTATATAATACAGATGCCATATATTTGAGAGGACTTTTTTTTCTCTAGCTACTTCATATTCTGTTTCCTTAAGTAGACTTTAGCGCCACATTCCAAAATATTATGTTTAATATATCTGTATTTGTTACAGTGTTAATCTAAGGACACAGCACAAAATACAAGTGTTTATTCATTGAATCTGCCATAATACCATATAGCCTCTTGTTCTAAAAGGCCAGTCACCAATACTGATGTTTAGTAATGCTTTCTAGTATAGACTCTCACTAATAAAACTTTTGATTGATAAATAATTTTCAAGATTATTTATTATAATTGAACTCTACCAGGGAAATGATCTTAGACCCTATGTCCACCTTCCAAACTAACTGTATTCTGAGAAAATTTCTACTTACCAAAACTTAAAGTGATTCCTCAAAGCATTAATTTTACTCATGTTGCTTTGCCCCATCATAATTACAGTATATAACGATTTGTTACAAAATGCAGTTATGTTTTCTTGAGTCTTTAAAGTGACTGTTTTTATATCTTCCCTATCAATCTGCTTTTATCCTCAAATTAATATTTAATATATTTTTCATATAATAAACATTCTTATTAATATTTCTTAGATTGATGTACGTTCATTCATGTTGGGAGTCACTTGCCATAGATTATGAGATTTTATTTTTTGGATGATTCTTAAGATGTTTTCTTGACTTTGAATAATAGGTCATTTAAGCCTTCCAATTTATTTTGAATGAATGTTCCTTTTGTAAGAAAATACTTCCATCTAGTGGAAAATTTGTTTTATTACAACCTACAAAGAAAAGTTTCCTAGGGTATTTCCTATCAAGTGTGTTTCTAACCTATTAACAAATGTTTTGATTTTGATAGGTAATATGGCAAACATGTTAAACATTTTTTATAATTAGCAATATTTCCTATGACATATAGTGGAATCTCTGTGAGTTGACTTCATTAAATAGAAAAAAAATTATAAATCACTTTTTATTTTAGTTTTGAAATTTACTCAACTGAACTGAGAAAAACTAAACCAAGACTCACATTCCTAGTGTTCTCTATTTCTATTCATGCAGAACAAGGGTACTTTATTTCCTTTTATTTTCTTAAGAGTAGTACCATCATTTTAATATTTTTGAAAAATCATCATGGGCACCTTCTTATGTGTTCACATTCTTAGGTCTCATGCTTAAGAGCTGCCATGACTCTTTAGGAGAAAAATCTACTACTTTCTGCCTTCCAAAGCCCATTTAAATATTTTCTCTATGGAGAAATATCATGTATCTTGCCTTTATTTTTTTTTTATCTTGATCAGTTCATAGTAGGTGCTTAATAGTGCTTATTTAAATAAGCATATACAAAAAGAGCTTGTGTGAAATCCTTTAGAATGTCTGTTTAATGGTTAGAAATTCTTTCACTCTCTGGGTTTTCTTAGGATAGCCAAAATGCAAATGTGGGTGCCTAGCCTATTCAGGTCCCTGTTGTTTCATGTCACAGTTACTTATATTTTTGATTATGTAATTATATAATAGAGCTGAAAGCAGCAATAGATGATTGAATCCAATTAGCTCAGTTACCTTGGTCAATTAACTTTTCTAGGACTTGGTATCTTTATCTATAAAATGAATCTATTCAACTAGATAATTTCACATTGTTCTTATGGGACTGAATAAGTGCAATGACACTTTTTAAAGAAATTATTTAATTGTGGGGCTGGGGATTTAGCTCAGCCCATAAGTGCCTGCCTGGCAAGTGCAAGGTCATGAGTTCGATCCCTGGTACCAAAAAAAAAAAAAAAAAAAAAAAAAAGAAAGAAAGAAATTGTTTGACAAGTGTGTTGTTGACTAGTCAAGCTATATTAGAAGTTTTCTCTTTGCTTTTTATATGATGGATTAATTTGGAGAACAAGTTCTTTGGTTAATGTCTCACTTCAGCTTTCAATCCTTGAGTTACAGCACTATTTGTTAATAACGCCAATAAAGAAAATAAAAGGTTTCTCAAAAATATCTGGTTAATAGTTTGGACAAAAATTCTAATGGGAAAAATCTGATGACAGCTAAACCTTTTCCTTTATTTATTCATTCAATTTCTTTTTTAAACCACGTACCTCCTGGACTGCTTCAAAGTATGCTCTCCTAAGAACACATGATAGTTGACTTTAATATTGACTAAGGTTTCACTAGACTAGCTCTTTGTGGAAAATTTATCTAGATTATAAGCACTGTCACCTTCAAATCTGTGTTTTTTCTCCTTTAAACTCTAAAATTTGTTTTGTCAAACACAGTACCAGTAACTCATTAAATCACTGAGTCAAACATTTTATTTAGGGATTGTTATTCATTTTTTTCTGTTTTTGCGGCTAGGGATGGATCTTAGAGCCTTTTGCATATTAGGCAAGTGTTCTACCACCAACCAAGCTGCACACCCAGCCCCAGCAAAGACTGGGAAGTACTTTGTGTAGTACGAAGAATGCAGGATGGAGTCACCATTTTCAGAAAGCTCACAAGCTAAGAATGGAGACAGTGTGGTAAAGCTGCCACTGTGTTGCCAGCTCTGTCACTGGGAATGGGAATCTATCTTGGGAGCACAGAGAAAGAACATTTTATGTAGTTCTGAACTAGCAGAGAAGCTTTTCAGAAGCAGGCAAAGTCTTCAAGGATGAATAACATTTAGGCAGGGAAGAGGGAGTAGGAGGTTAGGCAGGGGTAGCTGATAGCCAAGAAATGCTTCAGTATCAATGGAGTTGGAATACCTGACAGGGGAGAGTTCCAAGATAGTGTTAGGAAGATGAATAATTGCAATTAAGAGCAGATGGTTGACTTCTCCCGTAGCTAAGAGGTTAGTACTTTATCCTTAGGCTAATAGTGGGCTACTAATGGCTTTGAAATGGAAGAATAACACAGATTTGCATTTTTAAAAATTCATACTTGTTACAGACTGGGAAATGAATTGGAGACTAATTATAATGGCTATTTTGATAAGGTAGGTGAAAGTTGATAGACTCTTTAAAAAAATGCTGGTAATGAGGGATGCAGGAAATAACAGGAATTAATGCTGAATAGGTATAGTGGGGAAGGCAAAAAGCTCAGGTCTGGACCAGTGAGGAAGACATAAAGCACACAATGGGCATTTGTTGAAAAGAATTGACTTATTTAATGAATTACTATGTATTTGTTCTTTTCCAAAAAGAAATTTGGTATTTAGAAAAACTATTTTTGCAGAATGTTCCTTTTTAGATAGAGTTAAATTGAGTTTGTGCATGGTCAAAACCTTCTCAAAACAGAACATGAAGCCTATGTGTTTTGCATTTTTATTTCAATATTATCATTCTTTACTAGCAAGAATCAGTTGGAATTTTCCCACTGTCAAGTCCTGAACTACAGCTATACCCTTTGCTAAACTATCAACCTGCTAATGTTAATATAATTGCTTGCCTCTCATTTACAGTTTCGATGTGGACAATGGCGCATCTGCGGGACGGAGTCCCTTGGATCCTATGACCAGCCCAGGATCTGGGCTAATTCTTCAAGCAAATTTTGTCCACAGTCAACGCCGGGAGTCCTTCCTATATCGATCAGACAGCGACTATGACCTCTCTCCAAAGTCTATGTCCCGGAACTCCTCCATTGCCAGTGATATGTGAGTATCAAAGTGGGCAGAAGGAAGAGCAAGTGCCTGCAGAAACTAAGGAAACTCATCTCAAGCGTTGATGATTGCATACAGCCAATGATTTTGGCTCTAGTATATTGCTCTTCTCTAAAACAGAAAAAAGAATAAAATTATACAAGCTCAAAATGAATAGCAGCTATAACTTAAGTACACAATCACTCTTGATAACAAACATTTGTTTTCCTAGAAAATGCATTGGGGAGAGTGAGAATTAAATTTGTAATAGAAATTTACACTTTAAAATATCAGCTTATATTTATGTCAGACCTGAGTTTTAGCTTTCAAGGTAAAAAGGGTATTTTTGTAATATTTAAAACTCTTTAAACTCCATTTGAAAATTTGTTAGAATAGATACAGGTTTTGGCGATATCTCAGTTGATTGTATGTTCAGATGTTGAGACTTGTTTGCCAGATCACTCGTTGTAAGAGTTTTCTCAAATTAAACTGATTTTTGGATAATGAATTACTAGAGGCAACTATAGAAAACGTTAGACATACTTAAGTATGGTTTAAAATGTGGCACAGATCGGAAAATAATTAAAACAAAAAGTAGATTCCCACATTTTAGGTCACCATTAGTTCACTTTTGTAGCGCATTTTTGTGGTTGCTATATTGTTCTCACTGTATTTACGAATCTTTTGTATACTCTCCATATCTGTACTGTCATGCTTTATTTTTCTCTCTCTCCTTTTCTCTCTCCCTTTCCCCTTTACCTCTCTCTGAATTGATCTCAACCTCTCTTGATCTAGACGTTTGTCTAGTAATACCCACCATCTCCTGATAACACATCAAAAACTCATAACAGTTTGCAGTTTGCTTTATAGGATTTATTTTCTATGAGGCTCCTGCAGGTTACTTTGGGTACCATAATAGATGAGGTTACTGCAGTAGGTCTCAAATAAGATCTTAGAAATGAAGTTTTGTTTTACTCATTATTATAAACTGTAGTTCTTGTTTGCTATTTTTGAGCAGTCATATTGATGTTCATTTTTCTTCATCCTTAAACAATTTTCTTTCCCGATGAAAGCTTACTTTCTTAGGCTTGAAATTTGGGGCTTTTTTATATTTGTTCAAATGTAATGTAAATACTTCTTGGGAATCGTAGTATATATGATGTTCCCAATCTATAGGGCTGTGAAATCTGGCATTTTAAACCACTGAAATAAAACATGACAGGCAGCATCCATGAAGTATTTACAAAAGTATTACAGGGGCACAGAAAAGAGGATTCTCCTTGACCAAGTGTAGGAGGAAGAAAATAGCAGGCTAAGGGGAAAACATACAAAATGTGAATAATGGAGAAATCATGGCTTGGTTAAAAAAAAAAAACAAACAAGCAGAACAAAACAAAATACAAGTGTGTTTGGTGCAGGCAGAAAAATGTGTTAAGAGAAAAAAAAGAAAAAAAAAAAGAGTCGAATATTTCAGAACCGGCCAGCCATTGAGGTTTTTAGTTGGTGTTTAGCCTGATCATATTCTTGTTTTCATGCATTACGATTACTGTTATAAAATAATATATTGCACAATGAAGTTGACTACAGGAAAGTTTTTCATGTGAAATTTACAGAATAAAAGAAAATCGTGTATGATAAAGACCTAAATCAACACAGTGCCAGCAGGACAAAAAGCCTGGACAAGATACACGAGGCCCTCAGCCTACTGGCTTGTGTGCGTTTATGCAGATGTGTGTTGGGGGGACAGCCATGCAGTAAAGAGAATCAAAGAAAATGCTAATGTGCTTACCCTAAATGAGTAAATAAATGATGTTTTTGTAAGAAATAAAAGACCAATACTGGGCAACATAATAACAGTGAATAAGTAATTAATTTGGTATTTACAGGATAAGGACAGGGAGAAAAAAGCGCCATTAACCACAAAGACCAAGAACAGAATTCACAGTCCAGAGAACTAGAAATAACAATAGCCAGTTATCTGCTATAATTACTAGGTCTTTGGATAATGATTGATTCAGGAGTTTTAGATAATAGAATTAGAAGGCCAGTAGGTGAGGAATGAAAATCCAAGACAATGCATGCCTGTTTTTTTTTTTTTTTTTGCACATACCTTTAGAAGGTTCATGAGCAAAGCAGGGAAGAGGAATAAGGCTGCCTGAGGAAAAATTAAGTTTAAGGGAATTTCAAGCATTTTAAATTTTAAAATATTACTAATTAAATTTTTAAATTTAATACTTTAAAGAACCCCTACAATATAGACTAAAAATCCAAAGAAGAAAAGATGTTAAATATAAAGTTGTAGTTGCTGGTGTGAGCTCTACTTAGCAACCAAATAGAAGATGTACCCATTAATAACAAAGAAGAGAGGGGCTGGGGATTTAGCTCAGCGGCATAAGCGCCTGCCTTGCAAGTAGGCAGTCGTGAGTTCGATCCCTGGTACCGATAAAAAAGAAAAAGACCAAAAAAAAAAAAAAAAACAAAGAAGAGAGGGCTAGAGGGAAGAAGGATAAAATAACCACTGTGCTAATCAAAAAAGAGAGTACAAGAGAGATTAGTAGAGGAATCCTGAACACAATCATAGATAGTTAATCAGGTGAAACGATGTTGAATGCTAACGTGTTCTTGAGCATTAATCATTACCACTCTAACATTTGATTTAGTTAGAGGGCAGCAGAAAATTCACAATGAGTTAGTGGGCTCTAAAATTTTAGAGCATAACTACATAAAAAAATTGTCCTTCAGATGCTAATATATGCAGAATTTTTTGTATCTCCTTTCGATTAAATATTAAATATGCATTTTATAAAAAGCCTGTAACATTTCATATTTAATTAGGGTATCTATTTCCAAACCCATTTTGGCTTCATCTTACCCCAAACCAATGTGAGAGTTAGGGATAGGGCTAGGGTTAGGGTTAGAGTTTGATCAGAATCATAAAATGGACAAATTTAACCAGACTGTGATGTATCTCAGTATATTCTTAAGAAATAATATCTCGGTATTCTCAGCTATCCCACTGCCTTGGGATATTTTTGTTGGAGAAGTATTTTCCTTTCACAGTCACTGATACCTGGAAAGCATTCTTTGCCCCTAGAGGTGAAATTTCTGTACGAAGAAAAATAAATAGAATAAATACTCATTCAATATTCCATCTTATACAGCATGTAATATTTTACACATGACAGATTGTGCCTTCTTTTTGTGGATTTTTCATATGAGCATGTTTAAAACTGGTTGTTGTTTTTTTTCAAGCTTATCTAGTGCTAATTGTATAGATTGTCCAATGTCTATAATTCACCAACTTTATAGACAATGTCATTACATTTTACTCACTTGATGATTTTATGTCTGTTTTAGTTTAGCTTTCCTTTGGAGAAAATCCTATAGAAATTTCAGAGACTACCCAAAAAGGTTTCTGATTATCTATCCAAGTTAAATGTTTTAGAAAATCTTTCAGTGCTTTGTAATTTGTAAAGAAGTGCATAAAGTGAGAAGTAAGTAATTACTTCCTAATAGAATATCAACATCTCATCTTCTATAAGTAGATACTAGTAAAATAACCGAGTATAAAGAGAAAAAAACAGTAATGACAACATTATAATCATAATACATGTCACACATCTACATTACTTTTTATCTTTCTAAGTAGCCCTTTTTTCCCTGAAATTTGATGTTCTTTTCTGGAGGCTGGTGGGTTAGAGTTTTTGTGGGTATTTTTTGGTTTTGTCTTTTTTTTTTCCTCAGTTTTCGTTAGCACACATTTGTGGTACACAACGATTACATTTATCATGGGGAGTTTGCAGCTGTACCTAATACATCTTAATTCTTTTTGTCCCCTTTCTCTCAGCCTCCTCCTTACTCCCTCCAACTCTGATTCTACTTCTCATTTGAAAAATCCCTATTTCCATTTTTTTAATTCAATCTCACTTGACACTTTCACAGAACTTTCAATAGGGAGGTTATTATGGTATTTTATGAATGAAAGATCCATAGCTCAGTGATCATATTTTTTAGGAACATGACAAACACTTTAATCATTTCTAGAACATCATTTTTATGGTACAGTTGTGAACAAAATGCTATAAACTACTGCAGCAAGACTAAATTCATTTACTTAAATGAAGTACTTACCTCTATGAAAATTTGGCTAAGAATAAAGATAAAAACTCAAAGTGACCAAAAAAGCAGTCAAGCAAAATTACAGCTGGCTCAGGCCTACAATTGTACTCAGTATCTAAAAGACAAGTACCTAGCAGCTTCTGTTTATTTGTACCACAAAATTTGTTAAATATGGATACCACAGTAACAACTTAATTTTTAATGAGATTCAGAAAACAAAAATGCTAAATATTAGCATAAGTAAACAAAGAAATAAGTACTTGGAAGGCAAATTTGAATTACTACTGGAAATAGGAACAACTGAGTGATGAAAGGTTCTCCAGTAATGTCATGAAGAAAACATAAAGAAAATTACATAACAAACAGAGAATCATATGTTTCTCTCCTAAAGTTCTTCAAAACACACTTAAAATTATCTTAGCTTCAAAATAAGTTATTTCTATTGTTTCCCACCACCCAGTAATAAAATGTGTATTTGAAAACACACAAAGCTATTATGTATTATGAAGATTAGGAAGAGAATAAACAGTGACAAAACAAATAACATTTGCATATAAAAATATTTATTTAAATATAAGTTAACTCTCAAACCATTTAAATGAAATGAAAAATCAATCAGTTGAGTAAGTGGTCCCCACTTGCCATCCTATGTTGAGTGTATATGGGCATGCGGAAGCTGAGATGACCCGCAGAGCTCTTTACTATACTTGCACACTTTACTGCTGCATACAACGTGGAGTAGGGAGTACATGTGAAAGGAGTGATGAGGAGGAGATACATGGGTTCGGTATATCATAAAGGCTGGAGCACACTCCAGTCTCACTGACTTGTCCCAATGTAACATAGAGATGAGCAGGCTTAGGACAGCCCCAGACGAACATTCTTCCCTCAGGGAA